GGAAAGCCAATAGCTGTCGAGCTATTGACTTTCCGAAAAACGGCCATCAATGTTGGAATGTGAATTCAAGTAAGTTAAGTTTGGAGACGGAAGAAGTAGAGCGATAGGGGAAAATGTACATTATGAAACCATAGCAGGGTAGCCTCCAACACTACAGGAAAACGATTGGTCAGTTCCGATGAAGAGCTCTATTAAGAATTTCATCGTGTTTCTGAACTAAATATCTACATCGATTGAGTTTTTCAGCAGCATCCCTCTATGAAATAATGATCCACAATTTATCATGGATGAAAGCCATTTGTCTATACCTTCACCGAATCTGATCAAACTCCTGATTCCCCTAAGACAACATTAAACGGCAGAACTGGCTCAAAGATGATTACTTCACACTGACCGACAAAAGTCCAAGGAAGGAAAGGGAACGAAGCTCAGACAGATCAAAAAATATGATAGCTCTGCTTACTTTACACCTTGAGAGTCGAAATCTTCTCTATTCACGACAGCTGTATTGGTAACGGCCAATTCGTCCGTCGGACATTTGCGCACCTTCATTTTGATCTAAAAATAAAAAAAAAAATCCCAGTGAATAAAATTATTCGGGAAATCATGAACGTCTTGATCCCAAAAATTACTATTATACAAAACTCACGGCACTCATGTTGGAGAACAAGCCGGGTCACGGCGATGGTGACCTGAAAATCGTAATACTTCGTTCTATTGAGAATTATCACAGTGTTAACAATGAAGTAATAACGGCCGATTACGAACGGAGTTCTGTTTGGAAAAAGAAAAAGAAGTCAAATAGGGAGAATGTGGAGTCTAATCTAGGCCCCTTGCTAACAAGGTGGTTGTTTGCGAGATTGTCATAGTTCATTTGTCATCTTGAGGATGAAGGAGGGAACCGTGAGAGGCTCTATAATCCCGTCGATATTCTAAAGGCCCATCCACTGGCGAGTTGAAGCAGCAGGAAAGTCGGCTAAATTGCTTCAGTCTTGATTAGCTTTAATGGCCCTGTCTCGCCACTTTTTTTCAAGAATTTTCGAGCTAAAGGTAAGTCTAGCTGTCAATTCCCACAGCTTGGTCCAGTGTGAATCAATCACGATTATAGAAAGCTTCCGTTTCTGCATTCATAATTCTTACCCCAGTTTGACAATAAACAAAGCGTTCTAGTAAAATAATCTCTTTGAATACTACGAGTAAAGCTAGAAGATGTGAACAGTGTGTCAGAAGAATGAAGAAGCACATGCTTCTCGCGAAGAAGTGATTCATCATGGTCTGAGCAAGATGGAAAACAAGTATGATGCACACAGCAGAAATATACGAATGCGTACGACAAAATAAAAATCAAAAAGATGGTGACATCGAGGAGACAACTAATCTTCTTTCCTTTTCCCCAATCTGCACGCAATTCGTGAATGAGAACTGAAAAAAGGTGATTGCACATTATATGGAAAGATAAAAGATCGACGCGCGACAGGCGAAGCTCTTACCGAGAAGCGCCGCTGGAAATTAGAGAGTCCTTGGGTATGGATCAGTTTGTCCCTTTTCATGACAGACATATTTCAAGATCAACATGAGAGGGCAATTGCTGTCGTCGGGCGATCGACTTTGCGGAGCTCGAGGCGGATTCGCTAGCAGCGAATCGCGTGATTCGCAAGGTCTGACATCGGCCCAACAAATAAAGGATCGTACCCTCGCCTTCAAATAACCAGAAAATGTGCAATTGCAGAAATTGACGTGGCATCGAATCAAGAACATCTTTAAGCACACGTGACGTCACCTTTCATCGAGAATTAGTCTCAGTGTTAACAATAAGAAATAACGGCTGATTACGAACGGAGTTCTGTTTGGAAAAAGAAAAAGAAGTCAAATAGGGAAAATGTGGAGTCTAATCTAGGCCCCTTGCTAACAAGGTGGTTGTTTGCGAGATTGTCATAGTTCATTTGTCATCTTGAGGATGAAGGAGGGAACCGTGAGAGGCTCTATAATCCCGTCGATATTCTAAAGGCCCATCCACTGGCGAGTTGAAGCAGCAGGAAAGTCGGCTAAATTGCTTCAGTCTTGATTAGCTTTAATGGCCCTGTCTCGCCACTTTTTTTCAAGAATTTTCGAGCTAAAGGTAAGTCTAGCTGTCAATTCCCACAGCTTGGTCCAGTGTGAATCAATCACGATTATAGAAAGCTTCCGTTTCTGCATTCATAATTCTTACCCCAGTTTGACAATAAACAAAGTGTTCTAGTGAAATAATCTGTGGGAGGAATACTACGAGTGAAGCTAGAAGACGTGAACAGCTACATGTCAGAAGAATGAAGAAGCACATGCTTCTCGCGAAGAAATGATTCATCATGGTCTGAGCAAGATGGAAAACAAGTATGATGCACACAGCAGAAATATACGAATACGTACGACAAAATAAAAATCAAAAAGATGTTGACATCGAGGAGACAGCGAATCTTCTTTCCTTTTCTCTAATCTGCACGCAATTCGTGAATGAGAACTGAAAAAAGGCGATTGCACATTATATGGAAAGATCCGCAGAGCAATCGAAAGGAATAATTACAGAAGAAGGCCCATGAAATAGAGGGTTCTTGGGGCGTGAAATGGGATCCGTTTGTCCAACCTTTTCCATGACAAGACATATTTCAAGCATACAAACATGAGAGGCAATTGCCTGGGTAAGGCCGATGTCAGACTTTGCGAATCGAGCGATTCGCTAGCAGCGAATCGCGCGATTCGCAAAGTCTGACATCGGCCTAACAAATAAGGGATAGTACATGATAACACGGTGTGTGACTTTAGGTTTGAAAATGGGCGGGTTGCCACGCATCCGCTGCTTCGGTCTGTGAACTGAGGGGTACCTGATAGGGGGCCTGTCACGCGGCGTGAAGGCAGAGACGCAGACAGGCCAGTGGACGAGTTGAAGCACGTGCTCAGCGATTCAGTGTCAAGGTGAATAGGATGTACCATAGTGCGTCCTGTATATTACACGCTGCGACTCGTCCGCTGACACGTCTGGGTCTGTGCCTTCTCGCCGCGCGACGGGCCTCCTGTCGGCTACCCGAACTGAGGAGTGACAAGCATGGAGTTGGGTGATGGGTGAATACCCATTAAGGTATAAAGTTGAAGTGAAGTCACAAACTGACGTTCCTGTTCATACTTCGATATTATGAAAAAGGGCAACAACTACCGAAATATTCCAATTTTCCCTTTTTCCTCAAAGTCTCATTCAGTGAGTCCATTCTTTTCGCAGAGGAAGAGAGCTTTGGGGTGAGTGCAGAAAGCAAACGTTTACGCACCCGAGGATTGCGCTGCTCAGCAACAGTGGAATTTCTTAGCAGCAACTGTCTCCACCATGCCCCCCCCCAGCTAGATATCACCATTTTCTCGTGCGAAGAAGAGATGCCGACGTGTAATCAACATGAATGTTGCTAACGATTGTTTTTATAGTACAGATATCAAAGTCCGGCCAGGCATGTTCATGGGTTTTATGGTGCAGTTGAATAAGCTGCTTCCAGTATGCTTTTGCTGGTATCTAGCGGAGCCATGTTAGAAAAAGCTCATCCACATGACTCCCATCAAATAAGGCGATGTTACGTCAACTAGAGAGAATAAACCCTAAGTTGAAATACACAACAGCACGTTCTCCATCAAATAAAGGAACGTTTCGGGTTTCATGATTTCAAAACACAATGCACTGAAAGTAAAACGAACATCCGAAAAAATACGACTGAAGCAAGACATGAGTACGACGGGTATAAGGTGAAGACAACGCGGTGGAATGAGTGATGTGAACTGCTCCAGTCCTATTTTTGCTCACTTCGTCCTTTAAAGTTCCGAACCGCTATGCACCTTCATTTCCATCCAACTTCTTTGAAGTTCTAGGTTTGTACGGGTATTTGTAGGGGCTTTTGTGCTGGATCGGACAAGCAAAGACAGCTTCTAGGATGGTGCGGGGACACGGGTTTGATGACCCTTTAATGAACTAGTAACACGGTGGTTCAGAGGAGAACTAGCTCTCGGGTCGGCGAACCAAGTTATACGACATCCATTAGCTCTCGAGTTTCTCTCTCCCATTGTGGCTTATATCTGAAACTGAGCATTAATGACGAAAATGTCTGCCATCTGTCAAACACCTTGAGAACTTTGCACCGCGAATCCTCCCCATCTTATTGGAAACCCTAAACTTGTACTACGGCCCGAATATGGTATGTAACATACTGGCTTCCCGTCCAATCAAGTCTACTAACGGCTAGCATGAAAACACCCTCATGCGAGCTTATTTGATTTCTCGACGTATGCCGAAAACATTCGAGGAAGAATTCATATGACAGTAGCATCTCATCTGGAAGAAATTTAAACAACAACCCAAGATCGAAATTGGTGAGGTAACAGCGCTTAATGAAGGCGGAGGAAAGGGTGTGCGTTCACAGGAAGGAGCGATTTGGTCGATTTTCGCACGAAAAGATTTCTCGCTGCAGGGAACTCAGGTCCACCGCACGAGTAGAACAGGGGTTCCCTCATGCGAAAAATGTTTCGCGCTGCGAAACGCGAAAATGTCGCTTTCTATCCTAGTGAACTACACCCCGAGGAAAAGACGTGTTTTTGAACATAGTCGCATTAACGCGATCCATCTATCATGCCTATTTACCTATCATCTATCTTGTCCGCTACGTCTTTATCCACGTTGCACGCTAACGGGTGCGGGTGGGTATCTCGTCCGTAAGTTCACATTCGCCTCCATTAGATCACTTTGTAAGGCCCTAAGCGCACTTTCGAGCCGCGACAACGGCACATCAGTGATACATGTGGGCTACTCTATCCGGATCCACAGAATAGATTCTTCGACATTACCATCTGGGGTTGTTGCTTCACTGAAGCTGTCCAAAGCTCCCTTCATCTGTTGTTGAAGAACATGACATGAAGTATGAGAATTCTCTTGGAGCCCAAACTCTTTTGAAATGAGCAAGAGAAGCATTGGTAAAAAGAAAGCCAGCCAGAGCGCGAGCGATTTCTCTTTCGGGAGTTGAAAGGCTTACAAAAAACGCATGAGAATACTGATGAAGCAGAAAATGTATCGAGGCCAACGCGATGGGCATTGTGAATTATTTGTCGCCGAGCTGGAAGTCCAACCCCTTTCGTCTATCTCGCCGGACGACGGCTCGACCGGATCGATGCCGTCTGGTGGTGGCGGCAGCCGCCTTAAAAGCGTTTACCTTCAAACTCCGCCAACCGGAACAATGCGATCATCTCCTTCAGTTGAAATAGTGCGAAATATGTTGGAAGAACGGAAATCACTAGAAAGAAACGGAAACAAAAGTCCTAAAATATCTGTGGGCGTCAGGATGCAATAAATTAATAAGGCGAAATTAAAGTTCCATAGGGAACTTTGAGAAGGGCAAAACCTCTAAATTCACTAGGAATTAATAAGAAATTTGCTCTGCTACGCAATCAATCTTGCAGAGAAGGAGGCAAGCGCAACGAGCACCGTTGCGATATCGCACGCTTAATCTCCACGTGTTGCGGCCACGCCTAAATCCATGACTACGACGGTGTGTTGAAACCACGAAAACTCACTCAATTCAGAGATCAATGTGCTTCATCAATTTATCGAATTTTGCGCTGTTTTAGAAAATGACCCGCGCTTACGCATGTGAAAACTTTGTAGGGTGGCAATGAGGGAGGAGGAGGAGCGGGTTTTCAGCAAAGCGCAGCTTTCGTTTCATTTCGTATGAGATGAACACATGCAAAGAATCATCCCCTAAAATATTCACAGCGTTCAGAGCCCTCGACACTCTATGCATTTGTAACGTCGCTGTGACACTATGAGATCCTTTTTTTGAACCATCACGCAATATTCGTCGGATTTCTTCTAAACGGTAAATTAGGCGAAAAAACTGCTCAGGGCATTTGGCGTAAAATTAGCGGCAAGATCAAGAAGTAGTGGAACTTATTTGAAAATTATGTGAGCTTGAAGTAAGATTAGTTTGTTAGTTTTCTTGTGCTTTATAAGACTGTTAGTCTACTTTTACTCAGTTGACCTAACTTTTCGACTGAAATGATGTTGATGGTCAACGATTACCGTACCACCGGGTCAGTCTGCGGTACGCAAGAACGTTAGTTAGTATTGAAGGTTTTACTTTAATGTTAGTTTATTTATTTTATCGAAGGACTCTCCTCGAAAGTGGATTTACAGGAGATCCATGCGCAGTACTTTAAAGAACCCTTTTTCGGGGAAGTTTAGCATGAAGCTTTGGACTTTTTAGTTTCAACAACTTCTGAGAAAGCACTTTGTTCAGCCTATATATGACACACCAATGTGAAACTCCCGATTCTGCGTGCTGCAACGTTCGAGAACGCGCCAAGCAATGAAATCGAATCACATATGGTGATCCCACAGCGATAACCCTGTAAATCACGCCAAATCGCGGTGACTTTCAAATGGTATAAGACAAATGAAATTCCAAAGCTGCTAATCGTAATCATTTCTTTCTCTTTATACGAAGTTGTTTTAGCTAGTTTTACAACAAATTTACGTATAGGTACGGCTTCGCTTTTTCAAATGTTTTGTTCTTGATGTTGTGGTAAAGCCATCTCTTTCGATGTGTAGAGATCTTGTCGGAATTTTCGTGCATTACAGATGATTTCGTATCAGGATATTCTGCGTTTCATATTATTCATTTTGCGATACTCGCATTGTTTAGGTATTCTTCTTTTCTTAGTCTTTGGTGCCTTTCTTAAAAATGGCCCAATTATTGCTAGACGTGCTGCAGAAGACTATTTCTCAAAGTGAGTTGTTTCTTTTTATGAATGGGAGATGGCCTATTCTTAGGACAAAAACTCAAGACTTTTTATAGAAACGGTCCACTTTCTAACATGGTGAATTTTTAGATCAGGAAGATCAGAAGAGAGCGCTAGAGTTTTTGAATGACGCGTCAACGCGAGATTTTGTAAGTTCATTGGTTTCTTTGTCGACACTTCTAGAATAACATAAACAGAATCGGACTTGCTGAATCCAACGGGTTGCAATCTTCCCGCCTGGACCTTTCCTGAAATCCACCCGTTCCCTTTTCAGCCCGCCTTTGTGAAAGAGCTGAGCGTTATCCTTCGGTCGGAAAACTGCCAACCATTTGCTCGCCAGGCAGCTGGTTTGCAGTTGAAGAATGTGCTGTACGCGAAGGAAGAAGAAACTCGAGCGCAATACCTTAACAGGTGAGTTTGGTCAGATCTTGTAAAGTTTTGCATTTTTTGCATGGTCTCGAATGCGAAGTTTAGGCACTGTTGCACTATTACAAGAGGGGGCCGAGATGGGTCAAAAAATAATTTTCGCTGAAACTTCTGCTATGGGGGTTATCGAGGGTCCTGATCACGAATATGACATCCATTTTTGGCGCTGGCGCCAAATTGGCGCCATTTGGCGCCGACTGATTATCACCAAATTCGCTGTAAACTTCTGTATAGGGGTTATTTGGGGCCCTGATCACGAATATGACACTCGTTTTTGACATTCGTGCTGTTTAACGCATATTTTCTGCTTTTCTAAGCTTTCTCACCTATAGCGCCTAGACTAAGCTTAGGGGAGGGGAGTGAAACTCCGGAGTGGGTAAACCACGCACCGTGTGGCAAAAGTTGGAGTGTGTCAGACCACAGGGGAGTGGCCTACTCACTTTGGAGCCCTCCACTACTCAAAGGCTTAGTCCTGATTGCGATCTAATTAGTGCGAGGGCGCAGACGAGCAGGAAATAGGCGCCGAATAGCGCTAACAACAAAAACGAATGTCATATTCGTAATCAGGACCCCAAATAACCCCTATACAGAAGTTTACAGCGAATTTAGTGGGAATCAGTCGTGGCGCCACTGGCGCCAAATGGCGCCAAATTGGCGCCAGCGCCAAAAATGGATATCATATTCGTGATCAGGACCCTCGATAACCCCCATAGCGAAGTTTCAGCGAAAATTATTTTTTGACCCATCTCACCCCTACTGGGGTTGTAATAGTGCAATAGTGCCGAAGTTTATTTTGGTTTGGCAGAGTAGAAAGGTTCCGTCAGCGTAGAATCTGAGTTGCCTTTCTCACACCATGATAGTTGGGCCATCTTCAATGCTTGTTTCTTAGAGCTACTAAGTTTCTCTCCTACCCTTCTCTCCTTGTCTGCTCTCTACAAATTTTTCACTCAGCATACAATTTCTCCTACTGTCATTCCTCAAAACAGAAGGCCGTGTAGATAACTGAGTTAGTCGTAGCATTTACTTAGTGGGATTTGTTTGAATCGTACTGTCAATGTTTCTGAGCAAGTTTTTGGGGCGCGCACAGAGTAGTTCATGCCTGCAGTGGTAATACGACTTTTCGCAGGTTTAGGAAGCTCTGGAGTGGGGGACATGTTTTGCTTGTTCAAGAAGGGGACTGCGCAATGGTAATATTTGTCGCAGTCTTGAATACCTTGACCGCTCTGCCATATTGCACACCCTCCTTCCGAACTATTATTGAGCCATGTTTTCTTCCACGCAACGTCGAGAACCTGTGTAAGAAGGTTTCTGGAATTTTCCGAAGGCTTGATAATTCAGGTGGCTTGCTCTACCAGCCGATATTCGTACTCATGTCAAACTGCTCGTCGTTCAAACTCTTGGCACTGAGCCTTTCCGGCCTTCGATTGCAGCTCAGTGTGTGGCTGCAATAGCTTGCGCAGAGCTTCCGTCCGGTGTGAGTTTTATAATAACATTTTTGCACATTGTAATTTCTTGGCTTACGCCGTTGGCTGTATCCAGATGTAGTGGATACCTGATCACTGGTGATCTTGACGGTGCTTTCTTCAACATCAGTGAAATAATGTGCCGACAGGGTTCTCTTTATTGCCGTATCCTCTATAATCACCGATGACTTTTGTGTGTGGTGACGGTTTCCGTAGGAAATGTGCTCTTGAGAAAATGAAATGTTAATATTTAGTTATGGTTTAGTGACTGCTATTTATTATTCGCTTGTCAACGTTTATTTTATAAATTTAAGCTCTGGCCAGATGTTATCGACGCCTTACGTACTAGCGTGACGAATCCTGGAAGTACAGCATCCCTGAAGGAATCGTCTCTCGAAACTTTGGGTTACATCTGTCAAGACATTGACGCTGCAGTATGTTGCTTCATACTTGATATCCCATAGACTATAGATTCCGTTTCTTAGATCTATTATTGTATTAATTTTTAAGTGCTTATGTTTATTTATAAGGTACTTGAGCAACAATCTAACTCGATTCTGACGGCAATAGTTCACGGTATGCGGAAAGAGGAGCCATCGTTCCATGTTCGCCTGGCTGCCACAAATGCTTTGCTGAATTCCTTAGAGTTCACTAAGAAGAACTTTGGTATGGAGGTAGGTACTAGGATAAACGAGATTTTTCTTCCCTCAGTTTTCCCTTCCGGTCTATTCAATTTATCGATTCGATTTTCGGCTGGTTATTTGGCTGTATTATAGTGCTATTGAAGAAATCTTTCGTTGTGAACTGAACGAAGATTCCATTTCAATTTAGTTCCTACTAATTTTAGGCAGAGAGGCATATAATTATGCAAGTTGTCTGTGAAGCTACGCAGTGCACTGACACACATGTAAAAGTCGCCGCTCTGCAGTGCCTGGTTCGGATAATGTCGCTGTACTATCAGTTTATGGAGCAATATATGGGATCCGGCCCTGTTCGCTGTGAGTTTTGTCTTCAGCTGTTTCTAAAACCTTCCCATTCCCAGAAACTACTGCACTAGCAATACCTACTCATCTTGTCAACTCACTTAATTTTATTTCGTTCCTTGAAACGTCCAAGTACATTCATTTTGTTGCCAGTGGGCACGAAATAATTGCCATAACAGTTCCTTAACCTTTGGTACGGGAGCTATCCCTATGACTCAGTAGATCCCAGATTTCTCTACACAGCATAACCGGAAGTGCCTCGACATTGCTTTGCAAGAAAATTCTGGCCAATGTTCGCAGATGAGGACTCTTGTTTGGAACTGAAGCGTAAAAATGCAATATTCGATGTTAAAAAAACAAAAGATATCCCGAATTTGGTCTTGTTAGGCTGCTGAAAACAATAGAGTTCCGGAACAAGTGTCGCGCCACTACGCCAAAGGAGCCGTTTCTCATATTTGTCCCTTGATGCTTGAAATTCTCACACACCAAGGTTTGTTTTTAATTGTTGACGAAATACCAAAATCTCACTATAGTGGAAATGTTGCAGATGAAAATGACGACGATGATGATTGGACCCCATCGAAAGCGGCTGGATTTGATTATTTAATCGGCCAGTGTGTGCGGATACAATTCTCGAATCCGTCATCCATTCCTCCCAACACTTCAGCAGCAATGATGGCAAATAAAATACAAAGGGGGCCGCCATTCGCGCCAGTAAATAGAGGCCGTATTCAATTTATGCCACAGCAGCTTACTATACCTTGCGGTTTAGGAACTGCATATGGCTTTTGGAAGCCATACCTTAGGACCGATCCGCAAAGTTGATGACATCTATTGACCACAGCAATGCCATCACTAAAAATTGAGCATAGCAAGCAAAAAACGTTAAGCGCGAAATCTGGCTTTCTAACCAGGGTACTTCGGCTAGAGACAAGGAAAGCCGGACTTTTTCCCGGCATTTATTTGCAATACAAACTTTTCGTCTCTGGTTCACAATCGTAATCAGCGGGGTGGATCTGGGGGTTCACATCTAAGATGAACAACCATTCGCGTGCAAAGCGAAAAAAGCAGGCTTCGTCTCTGAACGACCCACATCCCTTTCCACACTATGCCCATGCAGACTGGGAGCATCACAGCAACCAGCATCCAAGCGAATCGTACTGTACGCACGGACCGAAACATATTACCACGACTTTAAAACACGTGCCCTTGAAGGTGCCGGCACCCTACTTAAACGGGAATCCCGCCCACCTTCACAACAGTGAGTCGTTGGCATCGTCGAACACTCTGTGCCCAGCTGACGCTGCTCAGGTCGTGTAAATTAACGCGATCTCAGCTAGCGAATCATTCTTATGCCAAAGTTATGCATCGCCTAGTATAACTAAACGTTTTATTTAAGTCTGTGCCATATAGTCAAAATTCTTCTCGCATGGCTACAGAACTACAGCACAGTGTATGACCATTTATTAATACTACTCTTCATTTTCAACTACTCTAATCCAAATGCTTCCTTCTCATCACCCTGATAGCTAGCACCAATATTAATCAAGCACAAAATCACTCAGTAACATATCCGAGATTACCGCAGTGCGTGTACGAATTGGTCGGGAGTGCTTTGAATCTGCCCGGACAATAATACAATAAGGATGGCATGTTTGCTGCGTTGCTTCCGCCTCTAGGCCCAATGGCTCACCAAAAGAACCGCGCGTCGGCAGCTAATTCTGCTGTGTGGCATCTTTCCTTACATCTCTACAACCTTTACTCGATAGTTCCAGCCTTGATTGCTCTGAAAAACCGCATATGACACACCTCCGTCTGGCACCAAGGAATGAATTAGACTGAACCTACACATACGCCTTCTCCTTGTATAGAACTATGTCACGCAGTATGAGTCAAACATACTGACAGCTGAATGATTTTCTTCATAGTGGGACATATGTTTCCAACTAATGACGCCTTTGTTTCAGAACTGATGGTAATCAGTCGAACTTACGACTTGCCGCATTCGAAACTTTGATGGAGCTCATTAAGAATTCACCAAAAGGATTGCTATCCGGTTGTGCAGAGTACCACGGTATTAATGTTGAAGAAGCTGGAGCAGTTGTTAAATATGGAAGCAACCACAACTTCTAACTCAGATAAGGTCTCGAATTGTTCTATTTCGAAAATCTCTTGTTTTTAAAAACATTTTCTATTCTGCATTTTTTTAGAACCAGCTTATGGACCTGCAGTCGCTGCTGTGTGCTACACTACAATCAGTGCTGCGTAAAATGCGTCCCGAAGATGCAGCTTTGGTTGGGGAACATGTTATGAATGGTCTTGTACAGATCATGAACCGAACCTCTAACAACAAGGGTGGTGGAAGTGTGATGGAAGAGGCGCTCCTAGCGGTTTCTGTCCTGGCAGAGAGTGAGTTTTAAATTGTGTGTCCCTTTAATATCTTTCCCCTTTTTTTCTTCTTTCTGTTTTACCGCCTCATGTCCTTTTATCAGTGTGCTCTTTATTGTAAAATCGTTTTGCAGCGCTAAACAATGGCTTTATTGCTTACATTGATGCACTTAAACCCCATCTCATGAGAGCGCTGGCAAATCATGAAGAACCACAGGTAAATGACCTCTAAAATAATCGCGGTTTTAGGTCCCAAGTAACGATTTCATTAAAGGTGTGTGCTGCTGCAGTGGGATTGGTGACTGATATAAGCCGAGCCATTGAAGTGAATATTGCACCAGCTCTCGACGATATCATGAATACACTCGTTCAAAGTCTGCAGGTTTGTCTCGAAAACTTGAAGATTTTACTAATCTAAGGATGCAATGTTGTAAGCTTCATGATGTAAATAGATGTCGGTCAAAATGGTTGTGGTCGAGAGCAGGGGGTTCTGCCCAATGTATAGCCTCTAATTTGACCCACACAGCTTAAATGGGTGGTAGTGTTTTCCATAGTTTGAAGCTTACCTGTAACAAAAGCAAGGCTTAACCATTGTTTTGATTTACCTTGATTGGACCCAAAAAGACGAAAAAATGTGTACAGAAAAATTTGAATATTGCATCATTATCACCCTGCTACATTTTGTGGATTATCAAATAGTTTCCTAAGTGTTTCGTAATAATTTCCCTAGGTTTTTTATTTCTCTCATCTTTTGTATACATCTTTGGACAAATTGGAGCAATTTAGAGCCCACGGCTTGACAAGGATGTGAAAGTGACAATTCTTGGATGTTTTGGCGATATTGCTCTCGCAATTGGAATCCATTTCGAGCGGTATATACAGATTGTGATGGCTATGCTCGCAGAGGCTTCGTCAGCAGCCATTGTCACAAATCCGGTAAGTGGGAAGAATTTAAAAGTGAGCACGGGAGTGAGTGCGCTTGAACAGCAACATTATCAGAGATATATAGAGAATCATATTGCGCAAATTTCTTATATATGTCATCTAACCTCGTTTTTTGTCTTTCTTTATGTGTTTGTGTACTCCGCCTTTCTGGAGCGGCTACCGCGTTAAAATTGGAAAAGGAATTATCATCGTCCTACCCTCTGTCAAACAATTGTACAAAGAAAAAAGCCGTTTTTCTAATTTTTGTTAAACTGCGAAAAACAAAGTGTATTTTGATCATGCTCTTCATGCACTCGACTTCCGTTGACTTCATCACTGAAGAATCTAACGTCAGTATTTCCACATCCAATTGTCTGCCATGAAATTGCATGGTTGGTGGAGTTCCCTCAGATTATGTGAAAGGGGTCAGTGAGGTTACGTAAAGGCCGTTGCGCTGACCCGGTCAGGTGGGACAGACGGCAGGTCTCTGCTCCATGAGGTCGCGACGGTGTATCCGTAAACAAGTTGGGGTCAGCGAGTGCAGGTTTTCCGATGGCTATAGTGTAGTGGTACCATGACTAAGAGAAGTATTGTCTGGCAGCCGAAACCTCATTGTTGAGTGCTTGTTCGGTTTGTGAGAGATGGTATTTACAAGAAGGTCTTCCAGAAAATGCGCAGCTTTCTTGAAACGGTTTTCCATGATATAGGAGTACGTGCATGAAACAGAACTGTGGTTCATTTTTCCTGAGCGGCCCTCTGAATACCAAAAAAGGAGCGAAGAAAAATATTCCTGAGGTGTTGCCGTTCTGAACTTCTTCACCAGTTTTTTAGCCAAAGTCTACGGATAAGGTTGGTTCTTGATGGTCCTACTTATAGATATGACATAAGTTGTTAATGAAGCGGATCCTGCGACTGCGCGGGCTAACGCTTTGGAGAAGAAGACATAAATAGTTTACGCTGACGTTATTCTTCCAAAACGCCAACCCAGAAATCAAAAAAAAAGTGTCACTGCGAGGATTCGAACCACGGACCACTTCATCACCCCTTTTTTGGTATTCAGAGGCCGCTCAGGAAAAATGAACTACAGTTCTGTGTTCCATGCGCGTACCCCTATATCATGCAAAGAAACCGTTTTAACCCTTTCCGGACCGCGCACTTTTCACGTGGCGGGCGCGTGTGGCCGGCGCCTTTTTATGCTCACCGTCGCGCGCTACTCAGCGAGCATAAACATCATATATTTAATCTGTATTCCCATTAAAATCCAATATTATTGTCTCGTTTGTCTTTTCATGTCTTAAGTATATCTGTGGTAATATGACAGAAAACCGTCCTGTAATAAAAGTGACAGGGCCATAAAAGGGAGGCAGGAGTGAAAATTGTTCAAAATAAGTTGTAATGGGAAAAAGGGACTAGAAAGTGTCCGAAACTTTTAGGTTCAATAGCATCAGCTACGACGTGCACAAGATGTCATGATTGCTTTTGTATGAATTGTTTCAAATGTTTAGGAACAATTTCGAGATTGTAGTCCAGATTTTTTCATACGTACGGCATGAGTATGTTACATAGATATGTAACAACATGAAAACATTTTGTAGAAAAACCGAATCCTCGGAAAAATCACTCTTTGAAGTCCCTGACACCCCATGGGTGTCAGGCGGTCCGGAAAGGGTTAAGAAAGCTGGGCATTTCCTGAAAGACCTTCCTTGTTAGTGTTGCTCTGTGCACCAGATCAGAAATAGTTTTCGCAAAGGATCACAGTAGATTTCAGAGAAACAGCCACACGCACATGCCATTTAGGTCTAAGGGATTCGATTGATCATCTAGGAAGCTTGGCTCTCGGACAATTGGAAGATTGTTGTCTTCAGTTAAATACTCAAACAAGTCACATATGGCTTTATGCTGATATTTTTCTACTGATTGAACCATATTTTTGACATACTGTTTTTTCTGGACTGACAGGTGCATTCCTTTATCTCCCCGTATGTGCCTTCTGCCACAAGTGCGAAATCACTAAGGTCTCGTGTGGCAGTGTATCGGCTTGCTGTGAAGGTCGTCCTCTGATGTGCACGGCATGTGTGTTGGGGTCATGTTGTTTACGCGGAAGCGGTCGATGACGCAATAGGAGGTCGCGAACTCTTATGGAGTAGAGCCGAGAGGAACAATAGAGGCAAAGACAACGAAAGACGCCAGATTATGCTGATGACTGTAATAACCTGAACACCATCGAGTGATTGGGAGGAAGCGCCAGCAGAAGAACGAGCAACGAGCTCGTGCTCCTTATTTAGGAAATTAAGCAACTTTAGTCAGGAACTTAAAATAATTTTGTTCTTTTCACAAAAGCTTCTCAAAGAACAGTCAGTATCGACCAGTTGTTCAGAGCAGGTTAGAAGCTAAGACTATGTAAAGGGTTCATGCGCGATATGGTACAACATTTTGACTAGCTTTCCGATTGACGGAAAGTTTGATTTTAACCTAGAAAAAGGCAGAACTTCACCATGCAAGAGAATGTTTCTTGGCTATCTGGCATGCAAGGGATAGTGGAGTTTCGTCTTCTTTTTGTTCCACTGTGAGGTTACGACTGGCACAGCTAACGGTAAAATCACGGGAGAGCTCTCATTCATTAATGAGCAGTTCCTTTTCACGCTGCGAGAACTATATTACTAATTGGTCATTGTTATTCATCAATTTTTCAGGAAGGAGTACATCCTTCTTCTCTGTAGGTAAAGGAAACCCTGTACAAAGGCAGATATTTCGTGCTTTTCTAGACGTAAAAACTCAATTTTCGAAACCTCTGAAATTTCCTCATGTCACCGTTTTCGTAAGGCCTTCGAAATGTAGGTAATTGAGTGGTTTCAGCAAGACTACGATCAAGTTGACTATGTGGACAAGCTGCGAGAGAACTGCATCATGGCATACACGGGTATCCTGCAAGGAATGCGACCAGTCGGTTCGGACACTGACCCGGAAAAGGTTGGTTGAGATATCAATACCAAGAATGATTTCTTGAACACTTGGTCTTTGCCATCTTCATTCATTGCTCATATGCATAGGATGTTCATACTTGAAAATTCTGGCTTTTTTATAAGCTGAAGTTGTATTTCTAACTTTAAGCATTCCAAAAGTGCTGAAAATGTGCTCATTGGTTTCAGAAAAACCAAGCAAAGGTATCATTGAGCCGTTTCGTCCCGGCCATGGTCAAGATGATTGCCATGTGAGTCTTAGTTTCCTTTATTCTCTTCTCGTTCCTCTTAATCTTTCGATTTTATCAATCTTGATTCTACTTCACAAGGATCTTCCTTTTTAGTTGCTGTGAAACCGTACCAGTGTCTCCGTCAGATGGTCTTGTTGCTTCGGTGGCTGGTTTAATTGGTGATCTCGTTGTATTGTACGGTACTCAAATCACTCCTGAGCTTTCAAACGACAAGGTGAGGTGGTGTTTGATTGAAAACTCAAGCTTCTCGCTGTTAAACTTGTTATTTTGAGTGTTGCTGGAATTGTCTGATGCATTTTTTTCAGTAGGCTTGGGGAGCGCTTCGGCATTGTACGGCGCGAGCGGTTTGCATCGTATTTAACCCGTTTTATTTTTCTGTATCGGGTAAGGTAAAATGAGAGCCTTCGCGAGCGGTCCAGTTAAGGTGGTACCCCCTTTAGTGATTCGCTCGTCACAAATTGTTGGAAAATGGAAACCTTCCATTTGGTCGCTATGAATCTAATAATTTTCGCAACGATGGGACCACTAAATATATTCTATTGTGCATGTCGCCCTACTAATTCAAGCGGTCTAATCATGGCTGCTTCTATGTTACCACGTATTCGTTGTAGGTGAAAGCCCTTCTTGATCGAGGACGAAAAAGTCGCACATCAAAGACGAAATCGGTTGCGATATGGGCAAGAAAGGAGATGCAGAAGGCGATGAACGCGGTTACACCAGCGCCATGAGTTTTCAGAGCAATGTCTTTTTCTGCCGTACCGTAGCATTATTCGTTTCTATACATTTGCATATTTACTCGATTCTGTGAGCTAAGCCTGCAAAGTCCCCTGTGAGAGAGTTGGCGTGAAAGAGTTCCAGATACCATTGAAGTCTTTTTGCTTTACTCAGAACTATCATAATCACCCCCCCCCCCCCCGTATTCGCCTTTGTTCGTATTTACCGCTGCGGGTCTATCTGTGACTGAATGCGTTTTGCGTTAAAATTTCGTTGCTTTCTTTTTTCTCATCATGTTTTACTTACGCGAAAATTTTCTTTAGTTTTTATTTATTTTGCCTCATCAAAAAAGTACTAAAACTTGCGGTTATGTTTGTCGCGATTACATTGAGCCGGTTGAATACGAGTAACGAGTCCCAGTGAGTGAATGACATTTTTTTGACTTCTATTTCAGTTATGCTAGGGTGTTTGCTAGGTTGTTACCTGTTGAACTCGAAATATTTCCCTTTTTTCACGATGTTGTACGATTATAGCTATGATTTGCTCAATAGTGTATTTCTTGCTAGCAATTACAATAGTTGTCACATGATTTAGTAATAAGTAACCAATTCATAGTGTGAGCGCTTTAATGATGAGCGAGTGTGTTTGTTATGATGAGATAGAAACTGTTTAGGTGTCGTTTTTATCCTAGTCATCACCAGCATTTCTATTCAATGTTTTTGCCTTTTGATTATTAGAAATTACTTTAAAATTGAGATACCGGTTAAAAATGATGCCGAGTTGTTACGCGAGAGGTTGGTTGATTGTTTGTTGTGCCCCCCGAAAATCTCAGAATTGTGTTGAATGTTTGTTCGTTGCTTTGGAAACTTTGTAGGCGTGAAGGAGATGCGTACGATTTTTGTTGAATTTCATCTACGATTTGCCATCTGTTCAATAAATATGATCTTTCTCGAGTTGTTCTAGTGCAAAAGTAGCTCCTACTGCTACCTCTGGTCAATTAATGGGGCCTATTTCGCTGTAAATATAGCCTGCCAGCTGGCTTGTCAGGCCATGGAGTGCTATATGGTCAAGGGTCAAAGTTTGGGTTGATTATTGCTTTTATAGCTGGAATTGAAAGGGCAATGCTTTTGGCATAACCAACTCCTTTTAATATAAGCCATTTATTCGTCTTTCGTTATTAAATCCTGACCGCATGGAATCGGATACACTGTGGCCTATACATTTTGTTGGTGACAGCTGGTGTATGGTCATGCTTCCTTATCTTTCTAAACGAGCTAAAGCGAGCGAGCGAGCGAGAATTAACCAATGTCGGGATACAAGGCTTAGTTGGGTCATTCAATTCACGATTCCACCCCAGGGCTTTGCTCATGGCGTAAGGCCCGCTTTTTGCCTATTTACGGTTATAGTCACAACTACAACCGGATAGATTTTTTTCATCTATGATATGCCAGTATGCAGGGATTTTTTGTCTAATCTTTCCTAACCATCTTATACCTTTGTTATTTGTTTGATTCATTGACTTTTGACAGTATCACCTTATGAAATCCTTCCCTTTTTGGCTCCACCGTCCATACTCGCACTTCTAATTCCGTATTCAAGCGAAATCAACGCACCAGATACTAATTGATTAGGTATTCGAGCGATCCCAGATCCCGATCAATTTACTTTTTACTGTCTCACTCCCCAAACACTGAGCCGGATTCTCATCGAAGATTGTTTGTGACTGTGGATTTGTTTAAAGTTGCCCCTGAAGTATTTTTTCTTGTAGAACACGAATATCACAGCGCGAAAATGCTTGGCGCCCGAGTCGCAGGTGCCGGCGCCATAAGGAGCCGGAACTCCTTGTGCTATTAAACTTGTTTGAAACTTGTCGTCAGAGGTAGTTGTACCACAAAATGGATATGAAATTAGTTTGTTGCGCCTGCCTGTAGCGCTACCGGTGCCGGACTGCTGTAATGGCGTCGTCGCCTGCGGCATGAGCGCCAGCCATTTTTGAGCTGATGTGGTATTCGTGTTCCACGAACTGAAAAGCCCCAGGGGCCGACTTTCTATTAGCCAGATTTCTCAGTTATAGATAAATTTTGGTTAAAATCCGGCTCGTTTCCTGAGGAGGGCAATAAATGCTAGATAGTGCCACCACCTTTCTAAGAGTCTGTGAATTCACATGGTTAAGACGAAAAGGGAAAAATGGTCGATTACTGAACTACACGAGAGTTTGTTATGATCACATAGCCTGACAGAGTTCTGCAATGGCAGTCGTTTTGCCACCCGGCTGACTTATTCGAGACTCATTGTGAACTTTTTGAGGTGGTTGGAAAAAGCAGAATAGATGAAAATACGATCGTATAACTTCGTATAATGTATGCGGATATAAACTTCTGTACAATCGGAAGACAAAAAAACAAATGCATTTATTTTTGAGCGATTTATACAACAAAATCGAAATCATTCTTAGCCATATTGATTCACACTGTTTTAAGCAAATCGTCGGTGAATACTGTGAAATGAAGGGTTGATTACGTGTAGCTTTAGTGTTATATTAAAAACGAATCAGAATGGCATCTGTACTAATTACTGCCGTGATTATACTATGTATTATTAGGATTATCATTCTGTAATCGTAATCAGAGTAGTAGAGCTTAACAGAGCTCACAGGATCATCAAGTTGTTCCATACGTTTCCTCCTTGCTATAGTTTCCAGCACTGGGACCCGTCGTCATTTCAGAGACTTTCACGTCGCGATAGCTTGGAAGTATCAATGTGAGCTTTTTATTGGTTTTGGTGGTCCGTGGTACCGCTTATTGCCTTTTTTGGTCAGAAAAAAGCTGTCGATTTCAGAAAAAAAAAGGAAAACCGAACAACGGTAAGGAACCCCATATGGAACAACCCAATAGTCAACACAATGGTAAAAGTTATGATGCATCAAGAAGCGGTAACTTAAAAAGCATTCGAGTAAATTTACTCGAGTTTTCCTTTTCCGGATTATTCAGACGAACTTGGGCCTGGAGGCATTCTGTGAGTTTGAGGGAAACATTGTCACTTCCATGAACTCCGTCCGGCTGCGCGATGTGTACGGCACTGAGTAACGCGAGCTCTTCTAGTCCAACATGGCCCAAGGCCGCTACGTAGCCTTTCCACTAATGCCGGGCTGGCAGCCGACGTCACTGGAGAGTCGTCACCAGAAAATGCGCTTCGGAGAAGCTGAAAAGAAAGGTATTTATTTATATACTGCAACACAAACCAAAATTTGTCCAAACATAGTCAGAGAGGATCCTGCGCCCTCGCGCCTGCTGGACGCGTGGAGCGTTTTGACTGCGCACAAGAGTTATAAAGGAGCACCTCTAAAAGAGGAAGCTCTCCGTCGCTATGTATAGCGCTTTTCATGGGATCAAGCTTTCGTTTATTTTATTTCATTTTTATTACTTTTATTCACTTTATTTTTCTTTTTTTTTTTAACTTTTCCAATGTTATTCAAATTTTACAGAGCATAAAAAATAATTTTGAAAATATTTTTATAAAATGGCCCGAGAGGCATCGCTCACCATGCATCCTTTAGCGCCTTGCCGAATCTTTGCTGCCAATGCGTCCTCGGAGTATTCTTTGAATAATGAGATTTTCGAGACGAAATGTCCAATTCTTTGTAACACATCCTGAAAATCAATTTTTAGTAAAAAAATATATAATTTATATAGTTGTGAGTAAGCGACAGTGATTAGTTCGCAAGTTGAAAGAGAATAATATTAAATCACCATCTGTAAATATTATTGGGACTCTATTGAATTTAAAATAGGTAACCTGGTTAGTTCAAAAAAACTTTTCTAAAAAAACCTAAGCCAAAACTAGCTGATCTTCAAAAAATCCTCTCTGAATTTTCTAGTGGGCATTTGAAATAGGGATTATTCATACAAAAAAAAAGAAAATAAAATGAATACATAAAATAATAAAATTGGCATTTCAAAAAGAACTTTATAGCAATTTTATATTTAGACAAAGTGGAATGGGTACCGACTGCTTGAGATTTTGAGCATCTGCGAAAACGACATACTTAATAATAATAATAATAATAATAAACCCAATAAACCGGCACTCTACAATAAATCGCAAATTAAATAAATTATAATCACAATAGAAAGAAAAATTCGAGAAAATTTTAGTTAATTGAAATTAAATTAAATTTTTTAAATTAATTGTTAAATAAAATTCAATCGATTATCGAGAAATTTTTATTAATAATTTTAATATAATAATTTACTTTTTAATAATAAATAAAAAATGAAATCAAAAAAATTAAAATATTCGAAAATAATAGCAGTATTACCTCTGGATTTTGAATGACAAGTCCTTCACCGAATGTCCTCGCGGTAGGCCTGTGTGACTTCCTCGACGATTCTCATCATCGCTCTGGTCTCATCCAACTCAACATCCTTATCGTCATCGCGGGTTTTGCGTTTTCGAGTACGATCTTGCCGAACTGACTCCTTAAAATTGGATTAAAATTAATTAATTAGCCAATTGAAATTAAATTTTGAGATTATAAGGGTACTGATGTTGTGTTGTCATCAAAATGGACGGGGACTCACCTTTGACATGCCCTTATCAAGGCATTTCTGAAAACGGCACGCTTGACAACGATTTCGACTGACTCGATCCACTGGACAACTCTTCTCCTTGTGACAAGTGTATCTTTTCTCTATGTATTTTTTCTGCACAGTACGACGGAAGAAACCCTGAAGGATTTCGATAGAAGAACAGAAGCAGCTGAAATCTCAACCTAGGTTTTGGAATTACTAGCTCTGGCCAAAAGCCTTTTTCTGGCCAGTCTTCGGCTGATGAGATCTTCTATGGTGATTTTGAGCCCTATTGCCCTACCCTTTGTACCACATTGTGAACATTAGAATCGAAGCTGGGATAGGAATAAGGTTAAGATGAAAAAGATACACAGGTGCCGCATATCGGACTGTGAAAACGTCCGGCCAGTTGTGCCATCATTCCCTCTGAAATTAGATGTCTCCAT